CTCTCTCATTTCTCTCTCTCTCTCTCTCTCTCTCTCTCTCTCTCTCTCTCTCTCACACACACACACACACACACATACTCCTCCTCCTCCTCATCTATCTAATCTTCTTTCCCAGCTAGGAGATATCTAAGTAGTAAAAATAAAAATGTTTACTTGTTTTGTTGCATTAAAATTCTCTTCATTTTTTAAAATCTATTTGTAGCCACCAATTACCCTGTTTACTTTTCATCATTTTTTATTCTGCCCTAAAGGACTACTTAATAAGTTTTCTTTTTTTAAAGGATAATATTGTCTTCATTTTTGCTCCCCAAAATTCATTGCATGAGCATCCTACCATTTCTTTAAGAGAAGCTAAAATTCTACTATATTACTTTCATAACAGTCCTGAAAAATCAGTGGAAATTTGAATCTGGATTCCCATATTCCCACATCACATTTATATTTTTTTAGTGTGCCAAAAGTTGTAACTTCTGTCATCAGATTCTGTAAAGTTTTACTTTTATATGGTGAAAAATAATTCTTATTAGCAGAGACCATTTCAGGGAATTACACTGCCATAAAGCTGGCAACAGACACTATAAGTCAAGCCAATCATCAAAGCCAATTATTTAATAGATTCAAGATGATTAGATGTTGCAAGGGTGAAATGTGTTCAAAAACCTCTCACCTATGCTTCAATTATGAGTGCCCTTTCTAGCTCCTGTTGAGTGCACACTGGTATAACTTGCAGCTAAAATGCTAAACCCTACAGGGTTTTTTTAAGGCAACACTCTGCTTTTGGATCAAAATGGAAGACTGCCCAGAATATCCAGGGTCACTCAGTGAGTGGCAACTTCTATCCAACCTTGTGTGATCTCAGAAGCTAAAAGGGTCTATCCTGGGTGGTACTTAAATGGGGGAACTGCCTGTGGCTCCTAGGGCCATTGACTAGTTTAAGAAGTTGAAAGAACATTCTGGAAGAAAGCGAACCACATCTGAAATGCTACTAAGAAAAGTGCATTGAGGCAGTCCACCGGAATGTCGTCAACTGAGGACTTTCTCACCTTTTAAAACTTACTGATAGAACAGAAATAAGTCTTGAACAATCAGACCGTGTGGTTTTATGATAATTATTTAGATCACAAGTGGAATTTTTTAACCCACCAGTAAGAATGTCCCCTATTTCTCATGTCTGTCTCTCAGTCAGTCTATGTATTTCAAGTATCTTTTAGCCTCTTTTCCAGAATGGTCTGGAGAAGACATAGCCAGCAGCAAGCAGACATAGTATTTGACAAGATTAAACTAACAAGCTAATTCTGTATACAGCTGAAGGAAGCCTTACACTGAAAGTTCTTCTTGGTTGCTTTTCTAAATACCCGCATATCCAACTTGGCACATGGAAGAGCCTCTTCTAGGTGTTGTCTGACACAGGGTCCCTTAACCTCAGCAACTTTAACATGAGTGGACTTCAACTCCCAGAATTCCCCAGCCAGCCATGGAAT